TATATATATATATAATGGTTTCTTAAAGCTTTTTCATAATCCAAAATGAAAAAGTTTTATCTTTTTAAGGTAATTAATTCCAGTATAAAAATATTTTGACAATGAAATATTCTCTATGAAAGTTTTAAAAAAATTAAATACAATTTTTGTTTAATTAAATATTAGGTAGAGATAAACATAAACTTACTTTTCGTGCAATAGTAGGTTTCGTTGCTTTGTTTGTCTCAGGTTTTTCTGAATTCAAATTATCGCCTGGCGATTTTTCATTCGATTCTTCTTGGACTTTTTTTTCAACAGCTGCAGGATTTTGAAAACCTTTTCTTGCCCCAGATCCAAGATGGTGATTAATTTTTTTAAGAGTTTCCCCAGATTTTGGCTTTAGACTAATTTTTAATGTCTAAAATAGAAATGTAATGAACATTAACTCTTGATTAAAAGAATGAAACTTATAATATTAAAGTTATCATTCAATATAAAAAAAAGCCTGTAATCCAATACAAAAAATTTAAAAGATACAATATATTTACAAGTTAAACAGAAACAATAACTCTGATACATTTTAGTACAAATCATCTTTCAAAAATTTAAATATGTTCCTTAGTTAGTAAATGATAGTAGTAGTTAGTAGTAGTAGTAGTAATGATAATAATAGTTTAGCAATTTAGCTCTTTAGTTGTTAGCAAATGATATTCTATTATTACAACAAAAAAAAATTTTGATTTGGAACATTCAAACAACATGTTTAGATTAATGATTAAAGTAAAAAATAAAATTTCATACATTATTTTTAGAGAATTTATGTGTTATTGAAATTATGACGATCTAAAAACTAAATAAACAAAAATAAACCATTATAACAGAAATTTTTGAAACATTTCTTGATATGTATCTATTCTAAATTTCATTATCAACTTAAATCATAACTAGTAGGTGTGACTTTCACTTTAGGAAGTATACAATATTTTTATTTAAAACGTTTTTACGATATTTTTATTTAAATTTTTTCTTTAATTTCTCTTGCTTGAGTAGCTTTATCTCTTCACAAGTAATTTTTCCTTAATTTGGAAACAATATTGAAATATAACTGCAGAAACTTCATTTTATTTTCATATCTTTTTTATGTATGCAAAAAAAGTCTGATTTATTTCATTCTCATTTTTTTATTTACTTTTTAATCAGATTAGATTTTGTTACAGACATTGCATTTTAGCCAACTTGTGAGGACTGAACTTTCTTCTAAACAATAGTAAGAAAATCATTGATGACAAAACTAAAAACACATTTAAGGCAAATAGAGAAATTAAATCTATATGAACATTTTAGCATATAAGTATCTGACCAAAGTAATCAGAAACTGAACTTAAAATATAATATTCAAGTTTTAAAAGTCGCAGCATTCATTATACAGGGTGGTTAAAATTAAACGCACAGTACTGTGAGGCTCATAGCTCTGGTTCTACTGGACGGACACAAATGAAATTCAAAATATACGTTATGTAGAACATGCGCTCAAGGTTTTTGCAATAAAAAAAAAGTTTAAATTTTCAGCAAAAGTTTCAAAGTTCGACAAAAGTTCGAAGAAATTTTCAGCAAAAATTTCAACTTTTTTTATTGCAAAAACCTCGAGGGCATGTTCTACATAATGTAACGCCTCAGAGTTCTGTGCGTTTAATTTTAACCACCCTGTATTTACAATCATTCAAACTTTTTTAAAAAAATTAATTAATGAAAATAGCATGTTTTCTTACCTTTGATTTTTCACCAGCCTGCCACTGTGATACTGTCAGAGATGGTTCTGGTGCATAAGTATCAGGGAATAAGTCTGCATGAAATTCTCGATATGACTAAAGAAATGTACATAGTTGAAAATTTAATTAAAAGCAAAACTCCTTACATATAAAATTATTTATTTGTGAGAAGGCTTCAAAAACAATATCAAGTAATAAGTAGATTGATCATCAAGTAGCAAAATATAACATTCAAATAAAGTTTGAATTAAGCTAAAATTGTAAAAAAAAATTAAAAATAGAAAGTTTCTAAACAAAATATTATATAATAGCTACTACACATACTAATTGGTGCATATAGATCTTAAAAGATAGAATAAAATAAAGAACAATTAAAACTTTATTTCAAAGTGCATTATATTTTTAACATTTTTGTGAGATAAATTACATAACTTTTAAACAACAAATTTAATGATTATCCATCTCTCTTTAAAATGCTATATTGTTGGAGGATATGTGATTTGCTATTATTACGCCATGTTGTGTGTGACTTAACGACATGATTCCACTTGAGAAGACTAGCAAACGCTAACATAATAGAGTGGAGGAAATCCAATTTAAAGAATACTCTCCTAAGGCAAATAGCAATAAATCTAAAGACTTCTGCTAGAATATGAAGATATCCTTTCACTGTAATAATAATAATGAGAAAAAGAAAAGAAAAAAACTTAACTTAAATGGTCCATTGAATATAATTAAGCTATCAGTCAGGACCAAAAAAAAGTTCAAAACGATTACTTCAAAAAAAAATACAGTAACTTGTCTGTTACTCTTCTTGTCAGCCCTAACTTATGCCTCGACAACATTACCCCTCAAAACTCCATTTTAAATTATGCAATTTCCAGACAATTATTTTAATTACAGTAATAAGGTTACAAGTAATAGCCCTTTGTATAAGGTTTCAAGTAACAGCATTTTTTTAAAATTAATTAATTTATTTTTTGCTATTTTTAGAGGGTTTCAAGCAATTGTTTTTTATAAGGTTTAAAATAATAATTTTTTACTTGTCTTGCGGGCCATGACCATATTCCCAATAGATACTTTTAGTGAGGCATAGGTGTGGGGTCGTGTGCTGGAGTTGCTGTTATGATTAGATATTATGTGATTATGGAGGAAATGCAGTAATTAATCTTATAATTTTTTCCCAAACTTAAGAAAATATGCTAAATTGATTACAAAATAATAAAAAATTTCATGGCAATAAAAACTAATTCTTAACATTTATAAGCCAGAAATTAGTTTATACCATAAAATAAACATTAAATATTTAAAATTAGATAAAATAAAGAGACTTAGGAGCGGAAAACTATGAGAAATACTAGAAAATTACAAAAAATGCATCAAGATAAAATAATGATTTACATTAAGTAAAATATTCAATAAACACAAAATATAGCACTATGGATATTGGAAAAAATATAAGCTATTTACATAAATGCAGATGGGTGAAGAGATATGATAAATAACAACAATACCTTTCTTGGTACTTGGAAAGATATTGGGACAATGCAACTTTGGCCTAAAAGTAGTAATCGATTCACTTCTCCATCCATTACTTCTAGTGCTCTTTTGGGAACTAAAGCAGCTCCTTTAGCCTGTACTTCACCCATGAATTTAGTAGCTACAATCGAAAACAATTTATGAAGTTGAAACTAATATTAAATAGAACAGAAGTGTCTTGTTTCAGCAAAATTAACTGTCTAGCAGACTAAGCCAGCAGTTCCCAAATGACGTTTCGCTGAACCCTGGGGTTCCGCGTAAAGGTCATATTGGTTCAGACAGCTTAGAATTTTTTTTAACTACTAGTTATAATTTTTGAAACCTGTAATTAAATTTATATCTAGTTAATAACCTATTATTTATTTAATATTTACATTGTCTTCATTAAAGTATTTAATTGAAATGTTTGTGATGACAAAGAAATTTTAAAACGATGTTTTTCTAATAATATAATGAGCGAATTATGAAAAAGGATATGCATTTATGAAAAATTTCATTAGTATTTTGCATAGAATAAAAATAACCAAATTCAACAATGAAGAAGTATGTTCCTTTGATAACTATTCAATGTTTATTTTCTTACTTTTAAATTTTTCTTAATAGAAATCATATTTCAGCTCATTCATTTTCAGTTTATGCAAGCATTAAAATTTAATTAAGAAATAGACTAGATGTCGTTCCAGACCTGTGGATTCACAACTGATGTAAGACCTAATTTTAAGACCAATATTGATAAAGCAATATGATGCAAAAAAATTTTATAAAATTTAGATCATTACATATTTTCAAAATAATTTAAAGTCTTTCGTTAATAACACAATTGCTAAAGAAATTTATTCATTCAGTCTCCAGATTCTACTAAAGGAAGATCAATCATTTAGGGTTCTACAGCAGAAAGAAATTGCGAACCACTGGACTAAACTTATTCAAAAAACCTGAAATGTTCATTCAATCATTTGAAATAAGAATAAACATTAAGATATCAGTAGGTAATCCAATCTTATTCTTTAATAAAAATCTGTTTAAAAAAAAGTTTGAAGATATAGCATAAAAGCAATACAACAAAACCGAAGTCAAAACTAGGAAAACACATTCCCAATATTTATCATCAAATATATTAATAAATACAATAGAGAACTACATTTAAATTGAAATAGAAAAGTAAATAGAAACTGAACAAATGCAATACAGAACTTTTTCAGGGGATAACATGCATGCATTTAAGTGGGAGCTTCTTTGTGAATAAGCCTTTTATTTTCTAAATGATGCTTTGAGACATGAATAACACTTTTGTTTTGTTTACAGTTATTCACAGAAAAGCTCCCACATGAATGCATACAGGGTGGTATCCTGTATTGAATTCATGTTTCGTTTGCTCAATTTCAATTTACTTTCCAATTTAAATTTGAGTATACCCTATATACTGGTGTATAAATAGACTTTTCAAAACCTCAAAATTCTACAAAAAAGTGGATCCATATATACAAGAGTAATAAAGTGCATTGTAAAGAAAGAGCTAGATATGAATAACTCTGTATCAATTAACGCCTTTAAAAAAAACTATTTTTAATATATATACAATTAATTTTTCATTTCCTCTCATTGTAATTGTCTTAACACATGAAGGTTTTTTTAGAATTACTTTAACCTATCTTCAGAAGAAAAAAAAAATTAGAAATTAGGAAAGTTAATACCATTTATTTAAAAGTATTTAAAAAATGTATCACAATGAAATCTTTTAAAACATGACCATAAAGCTATAAATTTAACAATTACAGAATATCAAAGAACAGAATATCATCAAAAATTGCAGAAGTGTCATCATACAGATCCTACTCCCTCAATGAATTCTACTTCATCTCACAAGAAATCATCTTCACCCTCATTCATAGAATTTGAAATTCCACATTTTTTATAAGATTTTACAATAGAAATGCTCATATTTGGTTTATTCGGTGGTCAACTTAAAACACCTGACATACCAGAAATTTACAATCTTGAAATCAAAAATAGGAAGTTAAATTAATACAACAGAGAAACTTGTACACCTATATTGATTCTCTGATGTTTTTATAAACATATTGAATTGAAATTAATTGAATTTTTTACAATGAAAATAAACAATTGATTTAAATAGCAACTCTACAAACCTTCTTGAAGGAATGGGGCATTTTCAAGAACTTCCCAAAATGAAATTGCAGTATCAGCCTAAAACAGAATATTACTGTTATTTTTCTTTAGCATTTCTAAATTATATCCTCTTAATTATCAACTTTAATTTTTTTTCCATTTAACTAACTAAATGGAAGCACAACATTCTACTCACCTTAGCAATGAGGAACAACATATTTGTATCAGGATCAAACAAAGGAATGTAAACACTAAAAAATAAAAGTAAAATCAATATATCTAGGGAATTTCCTATCGTATAACAAATAAATGTTATATATTTTGCTCAAAACATCTCCTTCCTCATCTGATAAGACATTAATAAGAAGGGTATGGTCAGAGAGAAGAAAATTTTTAATATGCTTTCAGTTTAATATATTTCTGATTTTGATTCTTTTTAATGTGATAGCTATTTACACAGCTATGCAATATCCTTTTAAACATATACAAAACTTATGTGAGTACTTAATTTATTCATGATTAATTGAAACAAGATAGTTGCCGTGTGGTATTTTGCAGTCGCTTTAGAATTTTCTTCTCAATTGTAGTAAAACAATTCAGCAATAAACATTATCAGAGAACATTAACACTATAACTTTCTGATTTTTCAGTTCTGAGTTATTCTTAAACTTAAAGCAAATAGCCTTCTTGCAAGAAAAAGTTTTTTCCACATTATTTAAAGAGAAAAAGAGTGAAAAGTGGGAAAATTCTGCATAATTTCTTTCAGAAATAAAATACTAGTTGGAGGTAAATAAATACTTAGCTTTTATATGTTTAAACTATGTTTATATGTTTGAGAATTCTTCCAGACAGAACAATTTAAAAGAATTTCTAAACCTTCAAATCTGCTTTTTTTCACCTTAATAAAATTAGAAGAATGCTTAAAAAATAATTCAAAAAGCAAACAAATCAATTGAGTAAACTTATCTATACTACTTAATCTATCCAAACTACTAACATAACACCATTACTTAATTTACTTCTTAATAAGCATCAATATATTTAAATAAAATTTAAAAAATTTATATCCTTAAAAAAATAGCTAAGAAGTCATGTATTTGGAACACAACTAAAAATCTGTAGGAATACAAAATTTTAATACTATCTGTTACACAAGTTTTCATAAGAAAACAAAACTTACAATGTTAGAATTTAAATGCAGAATAAAATTCTTATACTGGTTTTACTTAAATTCATAATTGTAAAAGTCTAGAAATGGTAGAGAAAAAAATATTAAAGTTTACTCTAAATAATGAATTGAGACCTTTAACAACCAGAGTTCTAAACAAAGCCATGAGTTGCTTTGATTAAAAACAATATATTTACGCAAAGCACTAAAATGTAATTAATAAAAGATTTTTAAAAAATTTACTAATGTAATAGTTTAATGCAGCTTAACACTATATCATGGATAGTTAACAATGGTAATATGCAAAGTCAATAAGAAAAAGGCAAATTTCAAACACTTGAAAAATTGTGAATCGATTTCAATGCAGTTCCTTTTATATTTAATAAAAAAATAATAATACTTAATGTGTAAAAATGTTTCCTTTAAAACAATTACACTATTTCTTACTGATTTTTCAGGCATAACAAGACAAGACATTTTAAAAACTTAATTTTGGAAAAACCTACGTAAAACAAGATTTTTCTTCTTCATCAAATTAAATTTAATTCAATAAATTAAATTAATTAAATTATAATCAATCATTTTAATTAATTACTCAATGAATTAATTAAATCAATTAATTAAATAAATTTAATAATCAAATTAAATTACATTGACAACTTTTTGAGATAATTGCAGAAATCCAACTTTCAGATAGACTTAGCTTTAGCAGCAAAATTTGAGATAAATAACGTTGGGATAATTAAAATTAGTTTATCTTTCAGGAATGAAAATGAATCTTTAAACATTAAAGTTTGTGTCACCTTAAATAATTTAAACATTTAACCAAATAATCAAAATACATACCCAAGACTAGAATCACCAGAATAGGATGCTACAGGTTCTTCTAATTTACGAACGTCTCTCAGAAATACTTCTCTTTCACGTCCCTTAAAGAAACATACAAAATATACATATTAACTAGGATAAAAATTTGAAATTTTAATTATGACATTTACAACTATAAAAAGAAACTAGAGAAATACAAGACACTGATAAGTGAAATTTTAAACATGGTTTGTTGATTCAAATCAACTGATTTTCTTAAAATAATCCTTAATTTAAAACATAAATAAAAAAAATTTAAAATAATCATAAATTTAAAAATTTACAAAGCATTTTTAGTTTAAAATTTTAACTGATTTTTCCGAGGCTTGACATTTATTATATTTATTGCTGTTCTAAAAAGTTTCAGTTAGCAATATTGCATTTGAACTGTTATGCTTGTAAAAACTTAGTATTTTTGAAATGACATCAAAATTTGTATGCCGATTTTTTTTGGTTTTTCAAAAATAAGAAAAGTGAAATTTCAATTTAGCATTTTTTATAATTATATATCTGCAAAACACAGTGAAGTTTTAATGTAGCATTTTCTATAATTATATATCTGTAAAAAAATAATTATTAAACAGGGATTTTCTTTTAATTTTTTATTTTTTTTTTATTTTGCAAAAATAAAGGCAATGAAGCCAACTAACACGAGAGTTAAATACTGAACTGTTTCGTGTAATCTGCAATAACATAAATCTATGTAAAACTTTTGATCATTAACTTTTTAATAAAATTACTTCTTAAAAAATTTTTGGAATACTACCATATCAAGTACCAATAATAATACCAAGTCAACTATAGCAGAAAAATTATTAGTTTAATATTTTCTAATGTATTTTTCTACCTTAAAGCTAACAACAACAAAACTTACTTTTTTCTTAAATTAATAGACTGTTAGCTACACAGCCTAACCAAAAAAATATATATAGATTATTTTTCTTTAAAAGTAGAATATGCATATATACTACCAAGGATATTGTATAAAAAGTTTTTAATATGAAAAGCTTTCTGTTCTTTTGACTAGATAAATAAATAACACACAATAATTATTATGTGTTATCAGGGGTCTGTCTAGGTTTTTCTGAAAGGTAACTATTTTGTGAAAATTTAGACATAATTTGTGAAAAATTAAAAATTATATTAAAAAAATCAATACAAAAACATGGTAAAAAATATAGATTTATCGTTTCTTAAGGAATACAAAAATAAAATTTTAAGAAAAAGTTTCCTAAAGTTGAATTTGTGAAACTACCGTTTTACCTAAAATTGAATTTGTGAAGGTACCGCTAAACGGTAGTAAATTCGGCCTGGACAGACCCCTGATTATCATTAACAATTAAAAATGTTTTATATTATTATTAGCAATAACTATAATTAATGGCAATTAGATAACCATATAATGTTACTTGTAGCATTATTGCATAATATTTCTCACATTAATCTCATAAAAAGTCTTAAGCAGTACTATTTTAAATACAAATATTGTAATAACTTACACTTCCAAATCCTGTCGTGATAATTTGGTCTGTATCACCTAACCAAACCACTCTTGAATCTCTGTTATTACTATGACTAGCAACAGCCTAAAAAAATTGTAAAAATAATAAATTACTATTTATACAAAAAAATGTAAAAATAATTTATAATGTCAAGGTTTTGTTTAATTCTATCAATAACTCAATACAATTAAGAAACAGTGTTTAATCACGGTTTTTACACAGATTCTTCCACAGAACTTGACACCTAAAAAGTTGAGAAACGAAATTATAACCTGGCCTCTAAATAAAAATGGAGAACATAAAATAGCAGATTTTAAAAGAAAGGTACTCATAAGTATTCCTAACAGTGTCAAAGAAAATTGATGAAGACATTTTAGGATTCAAATTTATAGAACTTTTAAAGAGCCTGATTTCATCATGAGTACTAAATTTTAAAGAATAAACTGGGCTGGTTCATATTTCCAGAATGGATGGAAAAAGATGGAAAAAAATAAAACTTGTGCCAAAGCCCTTATTAGTTGAAAAAGAGGAAGGCCAAATCAACGACAGCTTGATTCTTTGAGATCAGATAATTAGCAGTCCAAGTCAAAAAATAAGTTGTCCTAGAGGAATCTTTAACAGAAGGGTTTGGTCCACCCTGTCATGCCAAATATGACGATGATATTAGATTAAGCAAAATAGATATATTAATCAAATAGCAAAGTCTGCAGGTTGAACAACAAATAATAATAATAAAAATTGGAATTTTTTAAACTTTTAATTGTGTCTGTGCACAGGTATCAAATTTGTGCATGATTGAATAGTGTAGAATAAAGCCAATTTTTTTTATTATTTACTTTTCTTTTCATTGTACAAAGAATGAGTGTTAAAATTAGTAGAATAAATAAAACAAATTTCTGAAACTATGACTAATTTTAAAAATTTAACCTTAAATTAAACATTTGCTCAATAGTTAGACATTAACAAATTGTTAACCTTATTTTGAGAAAACTACAAAATTGGCCTCTTAATTATTTTGATATACATGACATTCTAATGTAAATATACATGAGTTTATAAACATGAAAATATAAACGAGTCTATTGAAACACATTGTTGAAATTCAGATAATAAAAACTTTATATGAATTATAAGGATTTAAAAAAAAAAGAAATCAATCCCTGTTTTAAAAAATGTTTCTGCTTGGAAAAATTTATAAGATTTTAAAAATAATTACTTTGTTATTTGATGAGTCTCTGGGATCCCAGAGTCGCAGTTTCTTGTCTTTACCACAACTTGCTAAAACTTCACCGGAATGTTTCCATGATATGCTCTGAATTGTATCCTCATGACTAGAATCAGCTAAATTTATTTCAAAAAATCTTGAATATATTAAGTAACACAATATTTACTGGAACACGAATGAATTATAAAAAATAAATTAGTAAAATATTAATTATTGGGTAGATTTTATAGCAATAATAAATTATTTTAAAACAATTATACAGTAGAATTTCAATCCATCGTTTCTCAAGAGATAATTTATTAAATACGATAAATACAGGTAAACGATGAATGAGGGCTAGCTTTAAATATCAAACAATGACTAGAAAATTTAAGAAAATTAATAAATTTACATCAAATATATTTATTTATTTAAAATATTTGGAAATTTTAGTTCTTTTTCTGCTCAGCACAAACAAAAAATTTTTTACAGTTAATATACATTGCAATGCTTTCTCTGATTGTGTTAAGTTCGATCTTTATCAATATCACATTGCACTTCTTTAACTTTTGCAACCATTTCTTGAACAGACATCAAACCTGTTGTTTGAGGCTTTTTAAGCAAACTGAAACAAATCCACATTTTCATTATAAAACAGGAGTTACCAATTTACTTCTCATAACAAATGAACTTCAATGTTTTTCTTTTTTTTTTTTAAATATCGATAAATTTTTTTGATTGATAGAAGCGAGTATCTGTTAATTTTAAAAAAAAAAAACAGATATAAATGAGTATTAAGATTATAAAAACAGCATTGACAGCATCAAAATACCATACATACAGGAACAATGAATCGAGGTTCAACTGTATTATATTAACAATTAAAATATAAACATTTCATCAATATTTTACCAGAAAATTCATACAAAAAACTCATACAGTATGGGACCCCTAATTCGGCATCCCGAAATTCCGCACTGAAATCTATGTAAATTTTTTCTCTTTTTTAAAGAAATTTTTATTGATAAGAGAAAAAAATCAGTTAAATTCTCCTTTTATTTGGAATTTTATTCTGTTAAAGTAAGTAACTTTATTTTATCTTTTAAAAATAAAAAAAAGCAGTGTCAAGGGAAACATCTGTTTCTAAAGCAGTTTAAAATAAAGTGAAAGGGAAAAGTAAAAACACATGCATTTCCAATGAACAAAATAAAGAAATGCAAGTTGGAAGAAACTGATCAATCAATCTTGACAGTTGTGCAAGTGCTCTACTGGTTTGTCCTCACATTTCCATCTCCTGTTTGACCATAAATTAGCCACACCCTTTTGACATTGAAACTACCATGTGGGGTACAAAATGAATTCTATCACTTTTGTGGTTTTTTTTATTGGATGTAAATTATACTCTTTTGTTTTTTTATTAGTTATTAACTGTTAATTTGTTTCTGTTTTTTTGTTAATTGATAGCTTGTTTTTTTAATCATATTTAGTTGTTAACTTGTTTTTTTACCGTTATTAGCTGTTAGCTTATAAAAAAATGCTAGCTTATAAAAAATATATATTATTTGTATATAGATCATTATTTTAATTAATGAAATTTCTTAAGATGGGACAGTTTTAAATTCTCCTCATTATAATCTACAATCAAAACTTAACTAAATTTATTGGGTAGATTACACTAAATTTATTGGTACAAATAAAATATTACAAAGAAAGCACTATAAATATAATTATAGGAAAATAAATCCACAACAATTCAAACTAATAAAATGTTATAAAATGAAACTGTATTTAAATTGTTTTCAAAATTAAGACATATACAGCGTATAAATACAAGAATAGCATAGAAAAAATTTTAAAAAATATATTTTACCAAATATGCTTTGTTTCTTGTTTACATCCCACAAATGGATAATATTATCTTCAGCAGTGGACACAATACAATCTGCTTGTGGATTAAATTTCAACACTTCAACTTTATTTTGAGTTAATATGTCAACTTCTGGATTACAAGGAACATTGCTTGATAAATTTTCTTCTGATAACCTCCATAATTTTATCTATAAGTCAAAGAATAGAAGCTATTTGAATTGCTGAAACTTTTCTTCAATGATATATTAAATAATATATAGCTTTATAATACATAGCTAAAAAATAATTTACATCTTTTCTCTCACTTTAGGAATTCATCAACAAGTCTTTACCGAAATTTGCAATATAATTACAATGCATGCCAAAGAGCAACAATTGATGAAATACAAAACACCACTTTTTACCTGCTAAATCACTGCTTGTAGAGACTTTGAAATCTTAAGACAAGCTTATTTTTATTTAAAAATATTATTATTGTTATTACAAATAGGTTTTGATTTTCAAGTTTCTACATTCATTCTTTAGATGTTTTGGTCATAAAAAAGTTTTTCATGTTACTTTTGTTAACCTTTTAAAAAATTTTAATATTTTTCATGAATGTATGTAGTGGCAGGCAAAAATTTTAATCTAGCAAGTATTTTTAGAACTGAAAATTTCCGCCACTGTTCTGGTATTAGTTTGGTTTAGACTGTATTATGTAACTGCTTTTGTAACTTAAAATATCATCTGAACTTATTAATTAGCATATTTGAGGTCACCCTTTTGAGCCATTAAGTTTGAGTCCTAGAGCGTGAAAATCTGATCATTAGATCAAAAGTTATTCAGGGTGGACCGTTTCTTTTTTTTTCTTTTCTTTTATGTGCACCGTACATTATTTTCTGGCATTAAAACTTCTTGATCTTGCTTTCTTAGTCTAACAGAAAAAAAATTCATTTCAAAAATGGTAATTTTTTTGCAGCTAAAAAACTATTTAAATGCATTCTGTCATCTAAACATCGCATCATAGATGAGGTTTCAATAAAAAAAAGTTAAAGGTAGTTTATAAAAATGTTTTCTCGTTTAATTTTTAAATCCACAAACTGAATTCAATAAATAGATATAATATTTTTAATAAAACAATTTTAGGAAAAATCATAGATTTTAACATTTAAATAAAAAGCAGTTATTTTAAATACAATAAACAAAACAAATGTAATTCAGAACATATGCATAAACAGAATATATGTAATTTAGTTTATGATTTTAATTTCAAACAAATGAAGAAAAATAACCCATTATGCTGATTGTTACTCAGAAATGACTTATTGAAAGAAAATATAGCACAACTTAAACAATTAAATTCACATTATAACAAAGTTTTATGTTAACAATTACTAAAGGAACATTGAAGAACCAAATAATTAGTTTTCCACTTACATGATGATCTTGTGAACAAGTTGCTAAGATACCATCATCGTATGGACAAAATTCAAAATCTGTAACGAATTCTTAAAAACAAACGGAAAATCAAAATTATTAACAATACCTAGAATACAAACATTCACTAAATAAGAGGACAAAATTCTATCTAAATTAATCAAAAAAGTGTTTCTGTAATAACAGTAGTTGATAGGATTCAAAGAGAATTATTTTTGGTTTCTCACAGCTATTAATTTTCGAAAATAATGACATACAAGATTGATATTTTCCAACATATGTGTTTCTCATATTTTTATTAGTTTTGAAAGTCACAGACATATCAATTCTCCAGAAGAAAAATTATTAAGTAGTTTTGTCATTATCTTTAATTTAAAAAAAAAAAACCATTGTCATAATTTTTAAGATAGCTCCAACTTCTCATATAGGCATACATTGGCTAGCAGCCAATTTTAAAGGATATATGATTTACAAGGTTACTATTTTGTTACTTTTAAAACTGATAATTAATAAACAAATCAAATATTTAATATTCCTTCGATTAAAAAAGATTATTTTGCAAATATATTGATTCTTTTAGGGGTCTTTCTAGTTTTTTCTGAGAGGTACCTATTTTGTGAAAATTTAGGCATAATTTGTAAAAATTAAAAATTATATTAAAAATCAACACAAAAATATGGTAAAAATATGGATTTATCGTATCTTACGGGATACAAAAATAAAATTTTAAGATAAAGACTTTCGTGAAACCACCATTTTTCCTAAAGTTGAATTTGTGAAGGTACGACTAAACGGCAGTAAATTTAGCCTGGACAGACCCCTGTCTTTACAATATTATAGAGGGCCAGTCACATTAGTATAGCAATAACCAAAAAAGATGCTCAATATGCTTTGAATCATTATTATATTGAAATATGTGTAAAAATAATTCATAATCTTTTATGCCTTATAATAGGCCATCTACAATTCATAAAAAATGTTCAAATAAATTGAAAGCAGCAATTTGATTAAGAAAGCATACAAAAAATTAACAAATGATGATGTGCAACAAATTAATTGATTTAATTAGAAACAAAATGTGATCTGTAATAACTAAGACTATTATTGGGATTTATAACAAACATAATAGAATGTATAACGCTTGCAACCTTCAAGTCAACTAAATTGAAACATTGTGGAGAAGGCAACTACTGAAAGTGGCTTTTAGCCCTTAAGAGTTTAGATTGTATTGAAAAAAAAAAGACTAAAAATTCTTTAATTAAAAGAAAAAAGAATGTGTTTAAAACTCAGCAATTGAGAGCGTATAAATAAGAATTCCTTAATCAGAAAAATTGAAAAAATAAATTGATAAGAAATGATTTTAAAAAAAAGACATTTTTTAAAGTATTTTAAAAGAGGAATATTGTTAAAGAAAAAAAATTATGATTAAAAAAAAAATAATAATAATAATTTACAGAGTTTCATTTTTCTACAGAATATTACTGTATATTGAGAAAAAATTAACATTAGATTTTATAAAAATTTAATGCGTTATTTTTGCATTAAACATTGCTAAATCAATAGTTTATTGAAATTAAACGAATAAATTATTACACATTAATACATAAAATTACGCAAACAATAAAAATTGTTACCTGAATGAGCACGTAAAACAGAGAGACCTTTACTTTTACTTCCAAACTCATTAAGAGAAAGAATACCAAGATTCCCACCTCCTGTAGAAACAAGCCAAAAATAAAAGAGTATTTCTTTCTAAATATTAATAAATGTAGTAATAAATTAAAAATTAATAACATATTATAGAAAAATGACATAATTATAGAAAACTTTTATTTATAAATTGGAAATGAAACAACACATTCTTGCAGTGAAAATATGAAAAACTAAATTTTAATGAAAAATCAAAAAACTAGAATGGCATTTTATGGAAGAAATATAGAATTTAAAAAATAGAAAAGCTCAAATTATTCAGACCTCAAGACCTTTTTTTTTGGCTAAAGCTTAAAAAAAATTTACCTATCATGATGCCAAACTAAATATATAATGGTATCATTCAAATAACCAAAATAAATTGCACATGATATAACCAATATAGAGTTTATCCTTCTCATACTTTTAGGCCAAAAAAAAAAAGAAGCTAAATTATGAAATTTTAAAAGTAATTTTTGAGTTCTTCTTTAAAATTTATTCAAAAATTTTTACAGAAATAAAAAATATTAAGAGGCAAGTAAATTTTACTTATAAAAAAAATTTCCAATCCTTTAAAGGAGAAAATCATGATGGATAAATTTGATCAAATGTCTAAGTTCTGTTCATACCAGAAAATGGAGAAATATTTTCTTAACGAGGTGTAATTTGAACATGCAATTTTTTAAACGATTAATTGAGGGACTTTTTAATAATTAAAGTTTTAAAATGTTATATTTTTCATATAACATGCACAAAAAAAGAAAATATAAATAGTTAAAATTTCTTTTTTCAATCCATTCTAATTTTTATAAGTACAATGACATAAAAAGTATGATTGTGAGAAGATTTTCAGTAAATTAATGTTCCAATTGAGTGTGAATGACCAATTTTTTTTTATATGGTATTTAAGGGGAAAAAAATTATAATTCTACAATTTAAGATCAAAATTAAGATTTCTATAATATTAATATACATCAGTTTCTTGTTTTTCCAAGATGAAAGATAATATATTTAATTAACCAATTTTAATCTCTTTAGAAAAAAAATTGTCCTTTAATGCAGGTGCAGAGAACTTATGGGTAAAAACAAAACTCTAAAGGTCTAAATGTGTATAGACATACATAGTTAAACTTTCCAGTTTTTCCTTTCAACGGATGACTCAAATATAAGCACGTGGCAAAATGTGTAAACTCAAGACAAAGTATTAAATTATTGCATGAATTAACTAAACATAATAGTAAGATAAGACAAATTCAATCAATAAAACATAAAATACCCTACTAAGAAACAAAATGATTCTTTTACAAAAATGTATATTAAAATTTAACATTATTGTGCATTAATCATTTTGATTTTAAATAAAACTTTCATAAATTATGAAATAAATTAGTTCCAAGGCAGTTTTTGAATTAGATAGTACCTCCAGAATCAACATTAAATGCAATTAAAGATGCACTAGCTTTGATGTGGTTCCCAAAAGATGGTAAAGAGCCAACAGAGATATCAGTTATCCAGCCCTGTAAATAAAAATATAAAGTAAATAAATGAAAACATGTTATAAAAGAAATAAAACTTCAAATATCAGGAAAAGAAAATTTATAAATAAGAGTTAGCATACAAAATTAAGTTTCTTACTTAAAAATAAAATGTTTTAATTGAACAACCCAGAAAATTTAAATGAAAAATAATATTAAGTGAAAAATAACATAATTTCGAAAATGAAAAGTTTTGAACCAAGTGTTTATTCATCAATATTAGGATTAGTCATAATAAAGAAAAAAAATTAAACGCTTATTTTTTATCATAAAACTAAAATATTTATTCAAAAGTAAAGTCACAATTATAACTATTTTGCTTGAAAACAATTACTATTTGGCTTATTCAAGAAAACAAATATATTTCAAGTTTCAAAGAAATGTACTAATATTTTAAATATTGTTATACTTGAAAGAATTGTAAAAAAATGTCCATGCAAAATACAGTTCTCCATGGAAAAACAAAGAAATAAAATAAACAATAAACTTGATATTGACTTTAAATGTACTAAAATTTTAAAATTAAGAAAACCCACAGCTTTGGTTATCAATCATTGTAATGTTTGAGTTATATGTGAAAAAACTTAAAATTATTCAATGATTTTTTAGGTGAAAAAAATATCACCAATTAGTTATACTTTTAAAAAAAGAGAGAGAAAAAAGGAGTACAACTAATTGGCGATATTTTTTAAAGGGAAAAATACATACCTGCCAACATTGGAAAAATAAAATAACGGAGATTTTTCTAGCGACATTTTTCTCGGCTACGAGTAAAGTTTTGATATATCATGCAAGTCAAAATTGGAGATAATATAAGCACTTACATTTAGCAAAGTAAAAAATATATTTATAAATTTTAATATAAAGAAGATCTTTTTAAACCATTACTTATAATTACTTAAACTATAAACACTCAACATACTGCAGTACTGGCAACAGCTCCATCAATTGAGGAATAAGAAATATTTTTGCCATCAGAGGATATTTTATCACCAAAAATTATTTTTGTTTTTTAAATTTCTTCAACAAATACAGTATAGAACCCGTTATCCGGAAATCAGAAAACCGGAACGAAATTCAATAAATTTTCCCGCCATATTTCTAAAAAATAATTTTTTTTCCTCATAAGATTTTAGGATTTCTCTTTCTTTTTTGAAAGATGTTTACCTTACCATCATTTTGGAAATAATCATTAGTGCATTACTTCATCGTTTTTTTCTTCTTTTTAAGATTATTTCCAAAATTTTTTTTTTAGTTGGATTTAACAATAAAAAAAACGGCTTTTTGTAGCGATTCAGAAAACCGGAAAAATCAGTTATCCGGAATAGCGATGATCCCGAGCGTTCCGGATAATCGGTTCCCTACAGTACAGAGAAATTTCAGAATATACAGGGAAACAGGAGATAGTCATAAAATACAGGAGTCTTCGTTAAAAAGGAGGATACTTGGCAAGTATGAAAATACTTCTTTTAAACATTCAAAATAATTTTCTATTTTAATATCCAGTCAGTTCCTTTTTGGCAAGAGAGAAAAAAATAAAACTAAAATTTTACTTTAAGAAGATACTCAGATTATAACTTTTTTTCTTTGTAGAAAGAGTTTTGAAAAGCAGCTCGAAGAAGGATATGAAAATTAAGCTAAGCTTTATTGCAAAAATTAATGACCACATTTAGCAAGCAAAACAGCTTCAAATTAACAGATATACTGGGACAGACCATTTTAAATATTAAAACAAATAAATTTTCTTTAATTTTAATAAACTAATTAGTTATGCTGTTTTCAAGGTATATCTAACTAAATTACACTATCTGATTCAAGTCTTCTATACTTCATTACTTAGAATTTGCAGTAGACTGGGATAAAACTGTTTTAGTAAAGTCAGCATAGGACAAAAGTTCCAACGATTTATATATCTCATTTTAACCAACCTGAGAATAGCTACTTTTATGTCTATTCCGTAATGAAGTAAAAATGGATAACATTAGTATTTCTCAGTTAGCATTAAGAAAGCCTTATCATAAAATGTATACATTTTATAAAAATAAGGAATCACATACAAAAAAAAAAAAAGAAATTTTCAATATGCTTCTATTTAATTACTACACTGCTTATTTCCACAACCTATTGATACGTTTCTTAAAATTTTTGCACAAATGCATTAAAGTTGCTTAAGCTTTCTTAAACCAGCTAGAGAAAACAATGCTTCACTGCTAAAGTTCCAGCTAACTAGAAAAAACAATAAAAAAAATTAATTGAAAAAAAAAATAAGAAGCGTCAAAGCAGAAATCAATATGTAAGAAAGGAAAATGCAGGCATTATTTAATTTTATTCAGACTGTTACTTCTCTTTAAAATGGAATTAATATTAATAAAAAATTCAAACTTTGTACATTCAAACAAATATACTATATTTTTACACAATGGCAAAATGTCCTTTTTCAAACAGAAAGTATATATTTCAAACAGAGTAATATTTCAATTGTTATTGTTTATTTACATCATACTAGAGCTGCACAATGGGCTATGTAATACTCCAATCATATATTAAGATATAAAGAATATAGGTAATATTTCAATGTAATAAAGATAAAATACCTCTCCTTTCTTAGGAATTTTAGGATTTGCATTTTTATATTTTGAAGGCTTGAATCTCCACATTCTTCACAATTTAATGATCTACCTGTAAAAATATTAATGTACTTCAATAAATAGAAAATTTATAACAAATATAGCAAAATCATATAGAATTCAAAATAATACTTAGGTCATTTAGAACAATTCTAAGAATTTAAGTTTTTTTTTCCCTTTAAAAAAATTTTTTTTTTGAAAAACTAATAACAATTCAAATGTATACAGAGTTAAAAAGCATGTATTTTGAACATAGTAAATTAACATTATAGCAACAAGTAAATTTATAAACGACGTTTGCTTAAAAAAGGGGATCAAGAGTTTTCTAAAATCTATCATTATCACAAGTTGATTTTTGATAGATTTATTTAAGTTTCATTCAATAGATAAATAAAAAATAAGTCATATGAATTAGAAACTATACACTTCAAATTGCTAACATAGATTTTTCAAAAACATAACAATAGAGATATTGGTGATAATTAAACTAAATCTAAGGAACTAATTATTTACAAACTGTACCATCTTAAAAATTATATCTTATGAATATTTTAAAAACAAAAGAAAAAGATCTAACACAAAAAATAAATTTAATAAATAAAAATTAAATAGTAACCTAAGTGACCTTATAGGATGAAATATAACTTTAATAATCTGATATTGACATAAATATAAAAACTAAAAAATTTTTATAAAAACTGCAAATCAATTCAACATTATAAACAGAACAGTGAATTTATTAATAGAAATCATCATATAAACTATGCACAAATAAATGCAGATATTGCAATCAATGTGCAGCAAAATTTTATTCGTAATGCATACATCAGTTGTAAACAAATAATAGATTGTTTATAGATGACTAAATGCTAAACATTTAAGGAAAACAGGAAATCTGACATAATATGATTTCTGAAGTTCTGAAATGAAAGTTAAAGAATGAAAACTGTTTATAGATCATATCTTTCAGAAATGTAAACAAAAATAACAATAAGACTTAATTTTAAATAAATAATTACTTGTTTGACAAATATGAATTTGACAGCTGAAGAAGAAATAAAAACAAGAAAGCGAAAATACGCCTCTTTTTAATGACGTCATGAAAACCGGAACTTCCTTTGAAATACAGTTTCAGTTATTATATCCAATTTATATTTTCAGAAAATGCCCATAGGTACGGTTCATACTAAACTGAAATTACTCACTAAATGCATATGCGGTACCGCATTTGTAAAATAACGTCTCAATCCTACTGAAAGTTAGTTACAACACTGGTAAAAAATTTATTTAACAACTTCATTTCGAATTCATTTAATATAACTGAATAAATTCAAAATGAGCACTTTATTATTCATCTACAGAACCAGTGGCAAGATTTAATTTTAAGATCTTGTTGTTGAGGATCATTCCCGCTGAATGCGTTTCCTCACGCACTTCCGGTCACCGCAAAGAAAAGCGGAGAATGGTGAGTTCTTCGCAGAAAAATATAATTTAAAAATCAGATTCTCATTTTTCCCAGTCCCGCAGTAGCCTGATCGTTAAGACACGGTTCCCAGCAGATCACTGAAGAAAAGCAACACTGGCTACGGTCAGTGTGCGGGTGGGTGACCACTTGGATCAGCCTGCGTAGGGACCGAGGGTGTACGGTATTGTTCCTCGTTAAACTATTCTACCGTAAAGTGCTCGACTTCGCGTGCAGGTCGTCGGGCTACCGAAGTGAGGGTGCCATCCCCTCTGCAGAGGATCAAAATTGTGATGGCAAGTCTTCGGATCATCCTCAGGGATGCTTCCCAGACCGTCGCCAATAGCCCATTGTGCAGCTCTAGTGCGACGTAAATGAACAACAACAACATTCCTCCTGAGCCGCATTCAGGGAAAATGGCAGAACAGTGGCAAATGCAAGTACATATGGCCAACGTGTTTCGCACCTTGTCAAGGTCGGATAGGGAAAGTTCGATACGGTACTTTAAATTAATGTCGCATTAAAGCTGCACAATGGGCGACGGTCTAGAAAACATCCCGAGAATGATCCATAGACAACATAAATACGTCATATCCCGTTTTTCAAGGAGGACACATTCCCACATCATTCATCGCAGATCGTAATTTTGACCTGAACCAAAGCACCACATATTTCCAGTCCAATACCTCCAGAAAATTAATCTGTCATGGGAACTTGGAGAACTTTCTGATCCCGACAAATTTAGTTTGCACCAGTTACCATTTTATACTCAGGGAGTCTTCGACAGGCTGGGATCGAACTCACGACCTGTCGGACATGGGCCCAACGGGGTACTAGTCAGGTTAACCCGGCCCCCGATAGGGAAAGATTCCCTTACCTAAGGTAGATTTATAAAACTATGATTTGAAGACAAATCAGTGGGACGTCCTCGAAAAATTTTACGATTTGAGGACAACTATATATTTAAGGAAAATATTAATTTATCTATGCAGCAAAGATTTTTTTTTTTAATTTGCAAATGCAAAACTTATATGGAACGTTGTTATTTGAGACAAATGACAGCTAACAGAACAACACGATCATCAGTTGCCCCGGAGATTTCTTCAGTGTAGCATGGTAACGTTCCTTCCTTATAGTTGCTTATTAAATTTTGAAAAAAAAATATTTTATTCTTTTTCTTATGCGAGCAAAAACAAAATGGAATCACTTTTCTAGGGAATCTCATCTCATACTTAGAGAAGAAACATCCAAAATACATAGGAAAAATATTTGTAAATAAACAGAAAAAAAAATATGTATCTTATCTTCTTATTAGATTTAAGACCCAATGCTTGAGAAATAGCTCTGAAAAATTTAATTATGTAATATAAATGGTCTATTTAAACTTCACATTCCATACTTTTCTGAATTATGTTACTTCAAACATTAAAATATGCAAAAAGTATACAGAAACAAATAATGTTATATGTTTTCATTTTGTAAAAAAAATTATTTTGATAACAATTTTTATCAAAAAATTGAAAGTTTCAATAAAAATCATTATTTACAAACCTAAAAAAAAAGGACTCTAAAAATTTTATATTGTTTTCCTTTTAGCCTTAAAGTTCTTAATTAGACGAAAAAAACTATCGCCAAATCAGAAAAAAAATTAACAGGTAAGTTTTTAATAATAAAAATCATAACATTTACCTGCCTTATAAATCGGGAGAATTCCAAAATGAAATGCTTTTGATTTAAAAATTTTATTCTCAAATAATATACAGGGTGGTCCCGAATTCATGGTACAAACTTTAATGGTAGGTTCAGGACATTGTAACAATGATTTATTGTATAGGAATGTATAGTCGCAAGTGACGCGGTGAGGCGTAAACAGGAGAAATAACGGCCGAAAGGAAAAACAAAGATTTTATTGAAAGCGTTGTTGACAAGTGTTATGTTTACAGTAAGTGTTCAAAATTGCGTCCACCAGAAGCGATACATGCTTGACAGCGTCGGTGGAGCGATTGGCGTACACGTTCAAAGATGCCTGGTATTTCACGCACACCTGCAGCAGCTACAGATATGCGAGCGACGAGATCCTCATCTGAGTCAACTGGAGTCTCATAAACAAGATGCTTTAGATGTCCCCATAAAAAGTAATCGAGGCTCGATAAATCGGGAGATCGGGGTGGCCAAGGGATTGGTCCACCACGCCCAATCCATCGAGCACCAAACGTGGCATTCAGGTAATTCCGTACATCAATGCTGAAGTGTGCTGGCGCCCCATCGTGCTGAAACCACATGCGGTTACGAATGGCGATCGGAACATCATGCAGCAGTTGTGGTAACACTTCTTTCAGAAAAATAAGATAGCTTCCGCCACTGAGTCGCGTGGGTAGTAAGTATGGGCCAATCAAAAAGTCGTTCACAATACCAGCCCACACATTAATACAGAAACGTTGTTGAAACGCATGTGGACGCGTTGCATGTGGATTATCGGTTGCCCACACATGGGAATTGTGCGCATTAAA